TCTATTGATAAAGATGCCTTATATATTTTGTGTGAAAATGAAAAGTAATATTCACAGTTTTTTTTGTCAGTTAAAGTAAAATTCAATTAAAAAATTAATACGTGACTAAAAAATTACCCTCCTTTAGTGGTAAGTTATTATTTTTTCTTTTTCTCATAATGGGACCGAGACATATAGTACAACACAAGGAAATACGTAATTTTTTTTTTCTTTCTTTCTTTTTTCGTATTCTTTTATAATAACTGTTCCAACTAGTATTTGATACATCAATATTTAACGAATAATATGAGGCTTTAATTTATAAATGAAATATAAAGTTTTGTACTTTGTTAGTAAAAAATGTTTAATACAGTAATTCTTATTATTTTTTCAATAAAGTACTCATATAAATGCTGCTAAATTTTTATTTATTTATTTATTAAAAACAATTGTTTGAAAGAGATGATGGTGTATATCAAAATAAATAATTAAGGGCATTGAGAAAAAAAAAAAGAATAAGATAAAAAGGTGTATAGATTAAAGTAAAGACTTAAATGTGGTTTTAGTTATATTGTAAAATAAATTTGATTATAGGTGTTGGACTTCATAAGTTTAAAGTTTTTGAAAATGATTTTGATAACCACAAAATAATAGTACATTTTATGTATTTATGTGTGCAACGGGGTGACTATTTTAAAGTAACATATTACATGACATATATAAATACTGTCATGTCATCAATAAGACATGGTACGTAAAGTCATTTTAGAAAAAAATAGAATTTATGAAAAATCAAAAAGTAACATATTTTTAAGAGGATTATAACTAAATTTAAATATATTTAGAAAGATTAAAAATATGTTACCAAAACATTAAATATGCAGGAAAGTGCATTCTTTATAGAGTTAATCACCTATACACTGTTAATGTAAAGTTTTTTTTACATTGGTAACTAATTATATCTTTTAATTGTGTCATGTCACTATTAAAAGTAACATGACACAATTAAAAGATATAATTAATTGTCAGTGTAAAATTTTTTTACATTGACAGTGTATAGGTGATTAACTCATCTTTATATATGTATGAAAAGTTTAAGGGAAGATTAACCACAAGCTTTAGCAACTTCGAATAAAAAATCACTTGCAAAGCTTGATATCAACCCCCAAAACTTTTTTGGTTTTTTGGTTAAGAATTCAAGTTGAACCAACCCTAAAACATGTAACCATTTTGACAATATTTCTAAGATGCATTAGCGCGCAATAAGATTATATTTGTTAGACAATACTGAAAGAACTTATCGATTGGATTTTAAATATGAAAATTTAATAAGTTTTTATTATGATTCACTTTTGGACTCATATATATAAATTATATAACCTATACAATATACGTATATGCATAATTTTCAGGAAACGACTAAGGTTAATTCAACCAATAAACGAAAAGTTTGAGAATCTCATCAACAAAATGATTGGTTTGGTTCTTTGATTATTTTTTTAAAATGTTTTTCTTAAGTATTGTCATAAGATTTGATTACAAGTTATTTAGAATATAATGCAAAATAAGTTAATCTATTTTTTTTATAAAAAAAATATAGCTTAATACTTGTTCTGCGAATAGATTGTCACTAAAATGTCTTTAACATAATTTATTTATTTTTCCTAGCATTGTAAAACAGAATCTTTATAGAAACATTAGTAAATGCCATAGCAGCATATTTAACTAATTAATGAATGATAACTTATGATATGTAATTGGTTGAAGTCTTCTGTCAGGATATGGCGTACGTATATGTATATGTACGTACGTCTCAAATCTGATTGAGTGCATTAATTGAAGAGTTGTAGATGCATATGAGATGTTACATTGTAGAAAAGTTAAAATATTATTTACCATGCTTCTCAAGATTTTGTTACGATTGGGAAGGTGAGAAAGTACTGTATATAAGTAGATGTAAATACATATGCAGAGTGTTGAATGAAATTTTGCTCCATCTGAACTGAACCTCTCAAGGAACCAGAATTGCTTAATAAATGATATATTTGATCAGCACTTCTGTTTCTGTTTCATTTAATTTATTTTCCCTAAAAGAACAAAACATTTGATGTGTAAGCACAAATGGTTAGAAGGAGAAAATAGGTGATATGACAAAGGATCGTATATCCTACCTAATTAAGTGTTGAACATGTGTGCCGGTGCTGATTAAGCTTGTTCACCTAGCTAATTCAGGAGGCCCAATTTTGATCATGCAATCACATTTATTGTTTACCAGTCACCTCAAAAACGGGTTTAATTAGTTTTCACTGTCATTAATTAATGTGATTTCTCATACAACTATATAATTATATAAAAGTTAATCATCTATACATTGTTGGTATAAAGTTTTTTACACTAACAACTAAACATATCTTTTAAATTATTTTATTTTATTAAATAAGTAAGTGATATGACACTATTAAAAAATATAATTGGTTACCAGTATAAAATTTTTTTACACTGACAATGTATAGTTGATTAACTCATTATATAATTATGCATGCAGTGAGGTAGTTTAAGATTCACTAATTTTTTTTCATAATTCCGTATGTATTTTATAATAACATAATACTTGACTAAACTATTTTTATTTACACTATAAATATAATATATGTCGATAAATTATTAAAAAGTATATATATAAGTTATAGTGAGATATAATATGTATTATTGAATCTCATTGAAAATCACTACTAAAATTATATGAAACTATATGTCAAAAAAAATAAAATATATATATATATATATATATATTATATTTATAGTGACATTTTTTAAGCGTCTCTTTATATATATCATTGTTTAAGTAATTATGTAGTAGTGTCTAAATAATTTTGGTCAATCTTTATAAGATATGTATTTAAATTTTTTTAATTTATAAAAAAGAAGTTCATAATATTTAATTTCATGTCATGCAAAGATTAATTAAAGATTATGTAATCCAACCACCTAATAATTTTTAGGAGATAGGGAAACGGTTGAGTCTTTATTTCATGTTGGTATTGCCAGTCAAAATCGCATGTCTGAATAAACTTGATTACATATAATGTAAAAATTATGTGATGTGAAACTGAAGTACTCAATAATTTCTTAGAATGGGAGAGGGAAGAAGAGTGTTGTTGCATGTTGGTATTACTGGTGAAAATGGTTTGTCCGAGCAATTTTGAGGAGAATGGATCTCTATGATCATCAGTAACATATATGTGTGATAGATTACTTTTTTCTCTGAATTTTATAGGTAAGGTAATACATTGGGTAGTGTCCATTGTTGCAAAATAAATCTCTGACCCTTCGTGCTGCCAAAAAAACAGATGATTAAAGTAGACAGAAGCTATCAGTACTAACTATCAGTCTATTATTGTTAAGGAGAACATGTCCTAACTCCTCCCTCTTTCCCTAGAGAAG